TTGTGAAGTGTCTGTTGCAATCTTCTGCACAATTTTCTGTTGTTTTCTTTACGTAGTTTTTGTTTCTGCCATTATATTTTTTTTACTCTTCTTAATTTTTTTTTTTTTTTTTTTTTTTTTGAGACAGGGTCTCACTCTGACACTCTGGCTGGAGTGCAGTGGTGTGATCGCAGCCTTGAATTCCAAGGCTCAAGAAATCCTCCAGCCTCAGCCTCCCAAGTAGCTGGGACTATAGGCACATATGTCACCACACCCAGCTAATATTTCTTATTTTTAGTAGACATGAGATCTCACCATATTGCCCAGGCTGCTACTTATTCTTTTAGTTCTTCGAGCTCCTTGTTTATTTGTTCTTTACTCTTAGCGAAACCTCAGACTGTTGCTTATTATCTGATCTTTACTCTCTTATTTCAAAGAATCTGCATTTTTCTGAATTTATTTAGTTTTTTATGGTGCAAATTTAATTAAAATTTACTTCTATTTCCAGTTTTATTTATTTTCAAAACTATGCCCTTTTCTGTATCTTGAGGGTTATGTTTTCCCCTTCCATTTTGTTGCAGAATGTTTTCATAGATCTGTATTATTTTTTCTTTTTTTTTCTTCTCCTTCTCTTTTTATTTTATTCATCCTCCTGCATGGAGATGTCTCATATGTAGAGGCCTGAGGGTGGATTCATCCGCAATAACCTCACTGTCCTTAGAAACTAATAGTTTCCTTTCAAATATTATATAAGAGACCTGGCTAATGTAAGTTTACATTTCTGTTCATTGATCCAGAATCCTGAGAGGAGTGAACTTAGAGCCTGTCCTAGCAAAGAAGTTATCCTTAATTTCTTCTGTAAGGAATCAGTTTTTTGCTAGCCACAATGCCAGTTGAATACTGTAGTTATTCATCCACCCTTCTGGCATATCTGCCTATTATTTCTCACACAAATTTTTTATTTCTCCGATTATTATCTGGTATGCTGCAGTACACATTCTAGGGCACAGTTATTTCAGATGATCTTGATTAGAAGTGGTAAAACAGATTCCAGATGAGGGGTTTCTTATTTTTTCTATGGCTCCCATATTCAGTAGCTCTTGCCCCTCTTGGTAATGGTGTTTCTGCGAGTATCTTCTCTTTCTCTCTGAGTCACAGAACTCCTTTCTCAGGAAGGCACATCACCAGTTGGCTCTTGGCATCTTTCTTCCATCACGATACCATGTCTTGCATAAATTCTTCAACAATTTTGTCATATGAATGGCATCTATTCCTAGTTTCTATTATTGATATAGTTCTTTACTATTTTATATTTGTTTTGGCATTTTCATTTTGATAAGATGAAGGTATGAGTTAAAAGTTCAAGATACACCCGGGAGGCAGAGGTTGCAGTGAGCCGAGATCTCGCTACTGCACTCCAGCGTGGTGACAGCGAGACTCCGTCTCAAAAAAAAAAAAAAAAAAAAAATTCAAGATATTTGAAGCGGAGGGGATCACCTGAGGTCAGGAGTTTGAGGCCAGCCTGGCCAACACAGTGAAAACCTGTCTCTACTAATAATACAAAAATTAGCCAGGTGTGGTGGCATGTGCCTGTAGTCCCAGCTATTTGGGAGGCTGAGGCAGAAGAATCATTTGAACCTGGGAGGTGGAGGTTGCAGTGAGCCCAGATCATGCCACTTCCCTCCAGCCTGGGTGACAGAGTAAGACCCTGTCTCAAAAAAAAAAAAAAAAAAAAAAGTTCAAGATATTTTCTTACCTCGAAGTCTAAAACCCTTTAGATTATTTTTCTTTTTTCTTCTCTTTTTTTCTAAAATGCTTTAAGTATTAAAAAGAAATGTACCTTTTCCTCACCATGGGATAACAAACAGTTATGCAACTTTCTGTGAGGTTTGGTTGTTCGTGGTATCTCAGATGACGTTATATTTTTGCAATTGGTTGATATGCTATAAGTGGGCCAGAATATCCAAGTATACATCAAGAACATTTATGTAGATGTAAATAATTCACTTTCTGTAGTGGATCAGACAGATGAGGTACTCTAATTGGGTAGCTAAAATGGAGATCTTTGACCTAAGCCTTGTTATACTGTTTCATGAGAAGTTAGCGTATGTCTCTAGCTTCACTGATACAGTAAGCTCTGATAGGGACCCGAAGGGCTTATCTAGCCTGCTTTGCTTTTAAAACTGCAATTACACTTTTGTTTTGTTCCATTTATATTGTGACTTTTATATGAATTTCTTATCTCTCTTTCATTAGGGACTAATTCTTGACAATTTTTAAAAGAGCTTCTGCTTTGTATTTAGTATGAAAATCTTAAGCATGTGAACCCAGTAATACCATTTTATTTATTCTCCTCATCTTTTCTCCTGTCTCTAAAGCGAGTCATAACTTTGGAATAATCTTTTGAAAGGGTACTAACTACTCACAAAAAGTAATTTTGACACTTTAAACCTAACTGCCTTTCCCACCCTTCTTTTTTCATTTCCTAACATATTGGAGTCAAAGACATTTGCCAGATTGTGTAGACTGTCTTTATTTTTAGAGCTCTTGTTTACTTTACTAGATTTGTAGTTTGGAAAAAAAAAAAGTACCTCTTTGGGGCCAAGTTCTGGTTGGTTCCTATTGGGTATGTTGAAAGTTTGCATCAATATATAGCTTATTAGTTATCTCTGATATATTCTATCCTCAATGTCATAACCCAAAACAAAACATAAATACCACAGTCTTAAAATATTTTGCACTGCTAGTCTTAAAAAAAAAAAAAAAAAAAAAAAAGCAAGGAAACATTTTTTTTCTGCAACAAAATAAGTCTTGATTTAATTTATATTCCTATTTATCATCTTATCAAATTACAGGCATGAGAAGCAGAAGCTTACTTATAGTACCTGGCCAGACCTCTAGATTCCTTTTTTTATTAAGAGGCTATAGAATTTAGGGTCTTTTCAAAAACGCATCTTTGGTATAAGATTTTTTTCTCACAGTATTCAATTAAGTGTACTAGGTTCAATTGGATTAGCTTTACTTGGATTCCTTTAAAATAGTAAATCTTTTTATTGTTGAAGAAAAATTGTTATTTTTTTCTATCACTAATCATTAATGAAAGGGAAATGAGAACATTTTCTTTGACTATTGCTACTTAAACTCTTCTTAAATCTTTAAATTAATTTAATATTTGGGAATGTTTAATCCTTCAGTGGACCTTACTGTGCAGATAAAATTTACACACTTGAAACAAAGAAAATGCAGTTCCAAAAGATGTGATTAGATTATAAACTCTAGCAGCATAATCTTTTTTTAATTTAAACTTTTTATTTAGAAATAGTTTCAGACTTATAAAAAAGTTGGCCAGGCACGGTGGCTCATGCCTGTAATCCCAGCACTTTGGGAGGCCAAGGCGGGCAGATCACAAGGTCAAGAGATCGAGACCATCCTGGCCAACATGGTGAAACCCCGTCTCCACTAAAAATAAAAAAATTAGTTGGGTGTGGTGGTGAACACCTGTGGTCCCAGCTATTCGGGAGACTGAGGCAGGAGAAATGCTTGAACCCAGGAGGCAGATGTTGCAGTGAGCTGAGATCATGCCACTGCACTTCAGCCAGGTGACAGAGACTCCATCTCAAAAAAAAACAGTTGCAAAAGTAGGCCGAGCGTGTAATCCCAGCACTTTGGGAGGCCAAGGCGGGCATATCACTTGAGGTCTGGAGACCACCCTGGCCAAGATGGCAAAAACGCGTTTCTATAAAAAATACAAAAATTAGCGAGACGTGGTGGTGGGCACCTATAATCCCAGCTACTTGGGAGGCTGAGGCAGAAGAATCATTTGAATCTGGGAGGTGGAGGTTGCAGTGAGCTGAAGATCATGCCACTGCGCTCCATCCTGGATGACACAGTGAGACTCCATCCAAAAAAAAATTGCAAACGTAGTATAAGGAAGGTTTTTATAGCATTCACCCAGCTTTCCCAAATGTTAACATTTAGCATAGAATGGTAATCCAAACCAGGAAGTTAACACAAACACAATACTATTAACTGATCTACAGACCTTATTCAAAATTTGAAGTTGTCACACTGTGTTTTTTTGCTGGTTCAGGATCTAACCTAGGATTCCACAGTTGCATTTAGTTTTTATGCCTTCTTGGGATCCTCCAATCTGCGATAGCTCCTCAGTCATTATTGTTTTTATAACTTTGACACTTTTGAAGAGTACTAGCCAGTTATCTTGTAAAGTGTCTCTGAAAGACAGAAGAGATGTTCAGTTCGTTATCTCAGGAGTTACATGATATTGATATATCTTATTGCTAGTAATGTTAACGTTGATCACTTGGTTAAGGTGATCTGCCAGTTTTCTCCATTGTAGTTACTCCTTTTCCCTTTGTAATTAACAACTATGTTGCGGGGAGATATTTTGAAGTATGAAAATACCTTCTTTTTCACAATACTCTTGCCCACTAATTTTAGCATCAGTTAGTGATTCTTGCCTGCAATAGTTACTGCTCTGGTGTTTGCCAGATGGCAGTTTCCTATTTCTATGATTCCTTCTGCATGTACTAACTGGAATTTTACTGTAGTAAAGGGCTGTCCTTTTTCCCTTATTGATTTATATATTTATTTGATTCTATCAGTATGGACTCATAGATACTTCGTTCTGTGGGTTATCCATCACTATCAGTATCTATCACTATCACTAATCTCCCACTGATCACTTTAGTCTCTTATTTAGTCTCTAGCACCATGTTATCAGTTAGAATATCAGGGTTCTTACTCTAACTTCCTACGTGCCGTGAAATTCACCTTTAGGCAAAATATTAAACTATTGTCGCCCTCAGTGCCCTCTCTCATAAAATGGGAATAATATCTGCTTGCGGTATGTAAATAGATTTGTAAACTATAGAATGTAATACATATAGTAATATTGTCATTCTTTTGTTGCTAAATGCCACAATGGTATTCAGAGAGCAGGGGCTCTTTTCAGGGGCTGACTTAAGAATTAATTCTTTTAGACTGTCCACTTATTTTTGTAGGGAGGCCCAAGAATGAAGGTGGAGAGGAACAGTTGTATGGAGATGAAAGGCAGAAGGAAGCCAAAAGTAAGTCACAGAAACACAGAACAGCATATATTTTCACTTTCTGCTGTGTGCAGTAAATACTTACTGAATTCCCTAGAATATCATGGAATAGTAATCTATTTCTTTGACGATTAGTTTTGAAAACTCCCTTGTTTCACATAACAAAATATTTTTAAATTAAATGTGGCACATAAAAACAACATTAACTTAATTTTTCCTGTACCTTAAGCTATTGTTTGATTTGGAAATGTTACCTCTGGTGTACTTTAAGGATGTGTGAAGCACACAAAACCATAAGGTGTTATGAATGTTATTACTCTTGTTTTATTCCCGAGTTTGCTTTGTGAGTCTTTGCAGATACCTATGACAATACTGTGTACAGAAGTCCTTGATGTGACTTTTTCTCATTTTTCTGAATCAGTACGTATATCCACTGCCCGAGATCATTTGTTTCTCCATCCTCTTTGCTGTAGGTATTTGGAGAATCTGTTGATTACTAAATTTGTGATTTAAGGTAGGGGTGTGTGTGTGTGTGTGTGTGTGTGTGTGTGTATGTGTATGTGTGTGTTTCCTTTTTCATGTTTTATTTTGTCTTTGGGGATGAGAGTTTTATTTCTTCCTGTCACAACAATTGGGCAAAAAATAGTAGACTAAACTGCTAAGTAGGTCAACCTGCCTGAGCACCATGAGGTGGCAAATTCTAATAAGATTTCCTGACTTCAGCAGTTATCAGTGATGGGAACAGGGAGTAGAAAGAGCAGTATTTGAACTTCAACTATCCAGGGAAGAATAAATGAGTTTCTGCTTTGTTCAACATTTGTAACTAAAGAAGGATTTTACACCACCATGTCTTTTTCTATTTTGTTTTAATGAATATGGCCAAATAAAGGCATGAAACCAGAATTAAAGAATAAGATCACAGCAAATTATTATATTAATGGATTTAGGCTATTTAGTAGGCACCTTCTGTGTTCTCTAGTACACTAAAAGATTAGAAATAGCCTTGCCTTCTTGTTGTGTATGTGTATAAAAGTGAACATTAGGTGTTGAAGCTATTAAGGGATGCTATTTTGTGTCAGTTATTTTGGAGATGGATGTTTTGTAAATCCTCTTAGACATTAAAATCAACAAATGCTATGAATGAACTTCAGACTTGTGGCTTTAGCTTAGCTTTTGGTCATAGGTTGGAATTTCATCGTTGTTGTTGGTCTTCGGCTACTGACTTGTTTGCAGAATGGTGCTCAGCTAAACTCTTCCCCATGTCATTGGTCTACCAAGTATCTTAAAACTCTCCAGATAACAATTGCAAGCGCATTGGGCACTGTCAAGAAACACCTCTTAAGGCGTTAATACTTCTAAATGAATTACTCCGATTCCTTTAGGTTGGTGCAAAAGTAATTGCGATTTTGCCAGCAGAAAGTGCAATTACTTTTGCACCAATCTCATAATTGATCTGAAACCAGTTATGAAGAGGCAAGTATTATGGGAAAATATTTTTAATTGCTGCAAGGTCACACGGCGAATATTTTACATAGCAAAATTAAGTACTTACTCACCAGAATCCAGTTTGATCATTTGCTGTCTAATTAGCCTTTTGTGCTAAATCTTTCAGTTTGGTTGACAGACATCAACAGGGTAGTTTTTGACAAATCATATTAAAACCAAGTAGTTTTAACACTTGAGTTCCCTACATCTTTATTACCATTACCTCAGTTTAGTCCTCATTATTTCTTGTCAGGGTTACTTCTGTAATCTCCCACTGATCACTTTCTTTAGTCTCTTATTAAGTCTATACTAATATCTGAATAATCATTTAAAAATACAAGTCTGGTCAGATAATTTTCTTGCTTCCAGTTTCTTCAAAGCTCCCAATTGCCTTAGAATAAAACCAGGCTTTCTTAGCATGGAATTCAGGGATCTTAGTGATGTAGTCCTGGCCTGACTTTTCAGTCCTGATTCCTTACAACTTCCCCAAATGACTTGTGGGTCCTTGAAAACTCTGTAGTTTTGCTTCTCACCCTTGCTTGTAATGTTTCTCTGCCTGGCATGTTATTGTCTTATTGACTAGCTCCTATCCATGCTTTAAGACACAATTTAAATTTTAGAAACTTTTAATTATGGATATTGTCCAAACATACACAGAAATAGAATAATATAATAAACCCCATGCATCCATCACCCAACTTTAGAGTATCAACATTTAGCAGATTTTTCAACTATGATTTTTTTTTCCAACTCAGTCTTCATTGGAGTCCTCCATGACCTCTCTAAGCAAAGTGAGCCACTCTTTTCCTGTGTTCTCTTTAGCACCTTGACCATCCTGCTATTAGAATGCCTGCAAGTATAATTCCTCATTTACCTGTCTCTCCCTCTACAATGTGAATCCTTAAGGGTAGGTACCAAGCTATTTTCACCTGTTCTCTATGCCTAACGTATATGCCAACACATAATAGGTGTTTAATATATATGAATGAAAGTAATAAACCAACCTCTTATCTTCTTCATCCGCACTTGCTATCACCCTTTCCTTCCTTCACAGAAATAGAAAAAAACAAAAACAAAACAAAACAAAAAAAGCAACTTTTTCCCCCAAAGAAACCAGATACGAAAGAGTGTGTATGTATGCACGTGTGCATTTATTTTTACTTTTTCAAGAAAGGCAAAACTAGTCTATGATGATAGAAGTCAGGATAGTGGTACCTTTGGCAGCAGGTGAGGTGGAGGTATTGTTGACTGGGGAGAGATCATGCATGGAGGAGCCTTCTAGGTTCTAGAAATGTTCTATCTTGATCTGGATGGTGGTTAAATATATGTGTGTATAAAAATGTATCAAGTGGTAAAGTTAAGATGTGTGTATAGGCTGGGCACGGTGGCTCACGCCTGTAATCCCAGCACTTTGAGAGGCCAAGGCGGGCATATCACGAGGTCAGGAGATCGAGTCCATCCTGGCTAATGCGGTGAAACCCTGTCTCTACTAAAAATACAAAATATTAGCCGGGCGTAGTGGTGGGCGCCTGTAGTCCCAGCTACTCCGGAGGCTGAGGCAGGAGAATGACATGAATCCAGGAGGCGGAGCTTGCAGTGAGCCGAGATTGCACCACTGCACTCCAGCCTGGGCGACAGAGCAAGACTCCGTCTCAAAAAAAGAAAAAAAGATGTGTGTATAATACTTTGCTGTATATAAGTTACAACTCATTTTTTAAAAGTCTGTTTGCTTTTTAAAACCTGTTCTCTTCAATTATTTTATTTTATTTTTTTTTCTACTGCTGGTAACATCATTTTCTTGATTACCCAAATCGAAAAACTGGGAGGTTTTCCAGACTTCTCCCACTCCCTCCTGTGGACTCTGATGAATCCATTTTATAAATAGCATTTGATCTTTCCCTTCTTATTCATCCTTAGAACCTCTGCCCCCAGGATATGGACCAGCCTGTGATGGGCCCACTTTGTGTCAGGTGTCCCCATGGTCTTATGTGTTGGGAGGAGTCATCTGGCTTACTACCCACTTAAGAGGAGTTGTGAGTGGGACATGGCTCAAAGGCCTTGTTTGGGAAGGCAGTGAGTCACATCACTAACATACAGTAGGTGAGAATTTAAGGCATATCCATTAAGCCATTTTTAGTAACTAGATAAGTGTATCCATGTAAATGAGGTTATGATATTTTAAGTAAAATAACACAATTTTTGCTAACTGTATATTTTATTGCAGCACATCTGTGAAGGTGTGCCATTCAATCTCGTTGGATAAATGTTAACTGAAGTTTAAAAGAAACAAATTTTTATGACATGTAGTGTGGAAATGTGTAGTACAGTTTAAGGCAAGATGCATTTTACCTAAGTATCCCTTGTCATTCTTCTTCTATTGAAGGAAAGGTGGTAAAAATAAAAAGTCATAGGAGGGTTCCAAATGGTGATAAGAGTTTATCCTGTGAGCCTTTTCCAATTTTATCAGCAGCAACATTATTATTATTATTTTAGGCAGGGTCTTGCTCTGTTTCCCAGGCTGGAGTGCAGTGGCGCCATCTCAGCTCACTGCAGCCTCCGCCTCCCGGGTTCAAGAGATTCTCATGTCTCAGCCTCCAAAGTAGCTGGAATGACAGGTATGTGCCACCATGCCCAGCTAATTTTTGTATTTTTAGTAGAGCTGGGGTTTCGCCATGTTGGCCAGGCTGCTCTCCATCTCCTGACCTCAATTGATCTACCCACCTCAGCCTCCCAAAGTGCTGGGATTGCAGGTGTGAGCCACCATGCCTGGCCACCAGTTCTATTATTAAAGAAGGACAGAATTGACTCACTTTTAAGCAAGCTGATTTTATGTTTGATTCTTCAGAATAAATGTTTCATCAAATAGAGAACAGATACAAAGATGCAATGATCAGAACAGTGAATACTCAAATGTATGCAGTTCCTGAGTAGAGTTTATTTTCTTATGAAATGACATTAAGATCATACTCTTCTGAAAATAAACTCAGGATTTAAGAGAGTTCCATTGTGGAAAATGCAACGCAAAGAGTTATGAGCTGGGCACAGTGGCTCTCGCCTGTGATCCCAGCACTTTGGGAGGCCAAGGCTGGAAGATAGCTTGAGTCCAGGAGTTGGAGACTGCAGTGAGCTATGACTACGCCACTGCACTCCAGCCTGGGCAACAGAGCAAGACCTTGTCTCTTAAAAAAAAAAAAAAGAAAAAATGACATAGTGCTGGTAATTTTAGATACAGAAGGTAACATTTGTATACTTTGTATTATTCATATCATTGTTAAAGAACACATCTTACAGAAAAAATGAAAATATAAAAGCTGAGGATTAAATTTCCATGGTAACATCACCTTATTACGCTACAGTTGATCCTTCAGCAATGCAGGAGTTAGGGGCACCAACCCCTTGTGCAGCTGAAAATTCAAGTATAAGTTTTGACTCACCTGAAATGTATCCAATAGCCTACTGTTGACTGCCTTACCAGTAAAATAATTTTTAACACATTTTCTATATGTATTATATAATATATTCTTATGATAAATTAA